GTTTGCCCTTTCCCTTACTATATTCCCTGTCCACCCCCTACTCATTGCTGCTCATCTTCTGGATTAAGGATTTAATTTTTTTAATTAAGATTTTATCATGTAGACATATTTCTCATTCCACCTCATCTTCATTCATGCTATATGCTTCTGATTTTCTGGCTAATTGTTGCTAGATGCATCTGGAACACAGTTGGTAGAAGAGTTTGTTATAAAGCTTGTAACAACAGCTGTGGCTGTGCACAGACACCAACAGCATTTATCATGTGCTTAACACATTTTAATGTTTTACCTTGGCTTAGTAATTCCTCACCAAGCTATCTTCAAGGAACAACTTCTAAATTGCTGCAACATCTTTAAGGTCAGGTAAATGGGAAATCTGAGCTCTGTAGCAAATTTCTGTTTCTTCATTCTCAGAGCCTAACTTGAAGTTGGGGGTCACTCCTCTTGCAGTTGAAGTAAATATAGTAGCAGGGGTGGGGAACCTGGGGCCTTGTGGCCACATGTGTCCTTCACAGTGAAGTTTGGATTTAGTCAAAGGGCCATACTTGAGGACCTAGAGGACCACATGTGGCTTCAAGGCCCCAGATTCCCCACCCCTTAGTAGTTAATGGAAAGGGACCTACACATGCTAGGGATTACTACACTTCTCTAGCCCACCATTTTCCCATTGGCTGTTTCCTGATTCTTCTCTAGCCAGGTAGCTTGCCTTCCTTCCCTCCACCTGAAGGACTACAATTAAAAAGCTATTACAATTAGTCCAAGACAAAGGTAATGAGAACCAGAACTAGGGTGGTGGTTATGTGAATAGAGAAAAAGAGATGGATGCAAGAGAGGGAAAGGTAGGGAAAGAAATTGTAAAAATTTGGCAACCAATTAGATATAAAAGGTGTATAAAAGGACTGAAGGAAAGGATGATGGCAAGCTTGTGACTTTAGGTGATTATTGGAAAAATAACGGGGGCCCTTTGACAGTAATAGGGAAGTTTAGAAGTGTGGTGGGTTTGGGGAAAAGATAATGAGTTCTGTTTTGGACATGATAAATTTGAGTTGCCTATGGATGTTCACATCAAAATGTCCAACAGGCCTTTAATGATGTGGAACTGAATCTTAGGCCTGGATAAATAGATCTAGGAATTGTCTGTGTAGAGATGATAACAAAACCCATGGTAAGTGATGAGATAATGGGTAAGACATGGATAAAAATTCAGCAAGAGAGACTGAGAAGGAGCAGTTAGGAAGAGAAGCAAGAAAAAAACAGAGTGAAAAAACTAGAGAAGAGAGAGTATCCTGGAGAAGAGGGGGGTCAGCATTGTCAAATGCTGCAGAGAGGTCAAGAAGGATGCTCTTGGTGAATGGCCCCAATTTTTTCAGTGAAGCATGAGGTTATATCATCAGTTGAGGGGTAAAGGTTGTAGGGAGGTAAGGAGAAATTTGAGAAAAGAAAGTTTTGAACATCTCTATGATGAGTGAGATAGATATTTAATTAGAGAGAAATAGTTGAATTGCTTTGCTGCAGTGAGGACCCAGTTGAAATTAGTTAGCATAAACTTGTAGTGGACCCAAGTCACACTGATTTTGTGATTTCCTCAAGTTATCTTCAGTAGCAAGTGAGTGAGAATTAGGGAGCAGATGATAGGAATAATACAGGTTTGGGGTTTGACATGGTGAGACTGGAAATAGGATAAGGGAACAAGTGGCTTAAGAATAGAGGCTAGAGTAAACTTTCTTCACCAAGGGATTGAGATTGAGAGAAGAGTATAGCATAGTAGAGGTCATGGCCTGGTTTATCACTGGAGGAAATAAATAGAAAAATTAAGATAGCTCTTGCTCTGAAGTAGTTCATATTCTAACTGAGAGTGGTAACACATAAAAGAAAGTTTAGCTGCGGGGAAGATGAAAGTCCTGGAAATCCTGGAGTGTTGCAAGTGGAAACACCCAGAGGTCCCTAGAATACATAAGTAGTTAAGATGACAGTTCTGGGGTTGGAGTGGGGGTGGAACTTCAATGTATAGAGGCAGGGCAGAGTCCTGGTGGTCCTCCATATCATCAGAAGAAATGGAAGTGCTAACTATCATCTACCTCATCCAAATCCTATAATCAGTCAAAGCAACCTGGATGAATGGGAAAGGCAAATTGGGAGGCTGCTCCTAGAGGTGGAAGCTATTCCTGCTGCCTTGCCTTCCTGGATGGTTCTAGGATGGTCTTAGGACAGGAGAGGGGGAAAGGGGATGGTAAGAGAAAAAGGAGAATAATGAAGTAAATAAAGGGAAATTAAAGATAATATTATATTAATTATATACCTACCACACTGAAAACATAAAAGAAATTAATGAATATCTAATAATGGACCAAACAATAAATACATAATGTAAACCAATATCAAATATATAATATAAACCAACATCAGAAAAAGAAACCACACATTTCATTGATGAACTTGCACATCAATAAACACCAACACCAGATGGATTCACAAATTATTTCAAAGAATAGACATTCCAAAAATAAATACTCCCAACACAATATAAATTTTTTCCAGAAATACAGAAAGGTGGCAATATTCTGCCCAATTTTTTTTTTATATTAGAAAGGTATAGTTCTGTTCCCCAGACCATGGAAAGACAAAATTAATAAAGAGCACTATAGACTAATATCATTAAGGGATACTGATAGAAAAAATATTAAATAAATTTTGGCAGATGCAATTAAACAGTACCAAAAACCTACCCATGATCAGATGCGACATATCAGTGATGCAATGTTTGCATTAAATTTATTGTAGGGAATCCAAGGGAATAAACTGTTTATTCATGTAAATTATTCTAGCTTGCTTAAAGTCCTCATCTGATGCCTTACTGTGCTGTTTACAGTGAAGATGTCTCTGAGTTTTCAAAAGCTAATTCTTGTGGACATTAGCCATAGATTCTGGTGAGCCTTCCAACTTGAAAAGTCAGGAGTTTGAGGACCAGTCTAGTTGCATTCATGGTCTGAGGATAGGTGATTAACTCTTTGGACACTGAAGTTTTCCATGACCACCTAGTAACATATCTTCTATGATGGAGGGAGTGCCTATACCAATGAAATTACAAACCCTTGAAGTGTTGAAGTATTCAATCACTGAGATACCATTTATGAAATAATCAATTACAATGTTCTATATTAATCTCTGGTGGCATAATATACTTAGGAATTTACTTCCAAAATGTAGTGTCTCAGGAGGGAATGACTTTTCCCTCAGTGGAGATTTTTTAGGTATTTTGTTCACCAACCTAGAACCTAGAATGATTACTGTTTATTTCCTTCCCAACTCCAACATCACAGTCATAAATTGTGTAAATAAACAATCTTACTATACTTCCTCTAAGCTCTGTAGTTGTAGTAAGTACTTCCTGGTTAATCAAATGAACCATGAAGCTAGAAGATCACTTGGAGTTCCCTCAGAGTTCTTCAAAATCTCCTTGCACTGAGCTGTGGCCTAAGGTCACTTCTATCAAGCAATCATTTATTCAATAAACACCTCCTTTTATTAAGCTCCTTCTATGTGCCAGGTACTATTCTAGGCACTGGGAACACAAATACAAAGAATGAAGCAATCCATACTCATAATGAGCATTCATTCTAATGTGTGAGGTAACAACTTGAGTAAATATATACAGTATAAATATAAATTTAAGAAATATAAATACACATAAAGTATTTAAAGGCAGGGTAGTTTTGAGGGGAGGATGCTGTTAATCAGGATGATCAGAAAAGGCTTCTTGTAATAGATGGTGATTGAGCTGTACCTGAAAGGAAGAGAAACGCAGGTTGAAGTAAGGAGGGAGTATTAAATTTAAATATGGGATGGTCAATACAAAGGTATAGAAATAGGAGATGGAGTGTCTGGTGTGAGATGCAAAAGGAAAGATGATTTGATTGGATCACAGAGTGCAGGGTGGTGGGGGAGGGCAGAGGAATAATGTCCAGTGAAGCTACAAAGATAGGTTATGGCCAAGTGGTATAGCATTAGCACTGCCAGTTTACTATTCATGCTGCATCTCAGGCAGGATTTTCTTTGTGGTGAGTTGCTTTCCAGAAGTTCAGATGTTGCCAGCCTCTAACAGCAATCACCCAGTCTGGAATTTTGGACGGGAGCCCGGGTGTACCTCTCTAGTATTGTGTCTTGGTTTACCTCTGTTGCATGGTTTTTTGGTGTGGTGCCAAAAGCAGCGCTGGTTCTAAGTTTTAAATGCTCCACTTGGCATCGTGTTTAACAACCTTTTGGCAATTCCCGTTATATAAGCTAATGCTTTAAGACACTGCATTTTTTGTTCCCGTGGAAATTACTGGGGCATGAAGATGATAAGCCTACCTAAGCAGGTATTGCATTAAGTATAGGCATATTGATAAAATAGAGAAGGTAATTTTTTTTTATTTTTAACATGTGTTTTTAAAACTTTGGGTTGCAAATTTTCTCCCTTTCTCCCTTCCCACCCACTCTCATTGAAAAGGCAAGCATCTTGATACGGGTTATAGATGTGTAGTCATGCAAAATACTTCCATAGTAGTCACATTGTGAAAAACTAAGTATGAAGGTAAATATTTTTCAAATAATGTTCTCACCCACTTGGAAAAAGAATGGTTAGAAGTTGACTAGGTAAGGGAATATATACTGATAACATAATGGAGAATATGTCTTAGTTTCAAAAAATGATATCTCCCTCCAACCTGAAAACTCAGTATATGATATAATGACACAGATGCATATTATAACAGACATCTGAGATTCATTTACTTAAGGAAATCTAAGAGATAGTTAAACAGAGGCTTTGATCTGCTTTTCAATGAGCCTTTTCAGTTAACTGTTAGTTAATTAGTGGATCTTTTATCTTGAGTCATAATGTCTCTCACAAAGTAACTAGGTAGCCAGTACCTATTTAAGCACAAAAATCTCCATATTTGTAACCGTGCTTGACACACGATTAAGATACAGAGGCTTTTTTTTTTCTTCTTTCTTTTAAGGGAAGCTATCAGCCGTGTTTGTGAAGCAGTACCTGGTGCCAAAGGAGGCTTCAGAAAACAGAAGGTACTGTTCCTTTTTTTTAAAAAAATTTTTCTTCCTCACTGTTGTCCTAAATGAATTATCTCCTCTTCTATCTTTTTAGCTATTTTTTTCCCCACAAAAGAATTATTTTTTCTTTGTTTGACCACATTTTAATTTTTTGTAAAATTATAATTGGTATCTTTTGTTTTTGTATCAACCTTATTTCTAAATATAGCCCTTCCCCCTGCTGTACCCAGCGTGCCATCCTTTCTTAACAAAGCACGAGAAGATAGAAGAAAGGAAAACTAACCAACACATTTATCAGCTCTAATAGTTAAATGCAATGTTTCATATCCAAAGTCTCCTACCTCTGCAAAAAAGAGAGGAAGGTGTATTTTTTAATCTCTTTTTGAGGCCAAGTTTGGTCATTATAATTACCTAGTGTTCCATTTATTTTTGTTGTTGTTCTTTCCACCCACATTATTTCTCATTATATATATTATTTTCCTAGTTCTTATTTCACTTTGCACTTTAAATTCACAGATGCACCAATGTCTTCCTTTACACGGTTCCTTCAACACAGACTATTCACATCTTTGTCAGCTTTACCAATTTATTAGATTTGAGGTGAAACCTAAGAGTTGTTTTGATTTTCATTTTTCTTATTATTAGAGATTTGGAGCAATGCTTTGTGTGATTGTTAAGAGCTTGTAATTCTTTTTTTTAGTATAACAGTTTAAATTTTTTTACAAACAATATTAGTCATCACTATAACTACTTCAGCTTCCTTTACACTTAAATAAATAAATTTCAACACAGAAAGTCTTAATTTTTTAGTTGCTTCCCTTAAGTCTCCAATAGTCTTTCTTTGTACATTTCCGTTTACTTTTCTGTTTACATGTGGTAGTTAAGACTGTACCCCTTAATTTGGTTCTGCTTCCCCCCCATTTAGAATTATTTCAAAAAGTTCCTTCCAGATCTCTTCATGATCCCCATTCTGGTTGATCTTTACCATATTATCATATTCATTAATATACAATTTCTTTAATCCATAATTTACTATTATTAAATATATAAAGGAACACATAATTCCTTTCAGGTTTGTTTGGGTTTTTTTTGGTTCCAAGGAATGTTACCCTACAAATTTCTCTCAACAGCTTAGTTAGCCAAACTAATATTCCTAAGGTATATTCCTAACAATGAAATTATTAGCTAAAAAAACTGGGAAAGGTGGGTTTGGAAAGAAAGATTATGTAAAAAGTTTTTGTACATAAAAAGATTATGTATAAAGTTTTATACCTGTTATTTTGAGATCCTTATAGGACATTCAGTTGGAAATATATTTTATAGGCAATTGGTGACATAAGACTGCAGTTCACGAGAGAGAATAGATAGAGGTGAACATATAGATCTGAAAATCATCTGAATAGATGTGATAATTGAATCCATGGAAGCTGATGAAGTCACCTAGAGATAGAAGAGAAAAGGGCCCAGGATAGAGCTTTGGAGTACACCCCCAATTAGAGAATAGGACGTAGATCTAGCAGAAAAGACAGAAAAATGGCCAGACAGAAGAATCAAGATTTGACTTTGTTTTTGTTAAATAGAAAGAATTATTGGGACAAGACAGATGTAGTTGGTTACATGACATAGGCAATTTCTCTGTAGCTATACCCACATGTTCTCACTTTACATAAATTCACATTTTGCAAATTTGGCTTTATGTAAAGAATTCTGAAATATGCATTTCAAAATTTTTTTTGAAAATTCTTTATGCAAAGCAGGCGTTGTACAATGCAAGCATCATAAATGGTGTGAGTGAGCTAAGAAGCATCTCTAAGTAAGTTCCCACATGTCTACAGACAGTGAGTGATACTGTACTTCCCCCTGTGTTCAATAGTGATCCTTAAATTTTCACCATGGTTGTCAGCAAATTTGCCCTTAAGGGGAAAAGTGAACCATCTCCTAAGTGTAAGCTAATAGACTTTGTTATATAGACTAAGTGAAATGGGTGGGTAGAGGAACATTCACCTTACATAAAAATCACTTTACATAGAGGACCACTTGAGTAAAATGAGAACTGTAGAACTATCTAGAGAGAGAGAAAGAATAAAGAATAAAGTCTAAGAGAATCATAACATAAGAATGATATGTTGAAAAAAAGAGAGAATATTGGGAAAATATAGCAAAAATGACAGATAAAAACCTGGCATATAAAATATGTAAAGAACTGTTTTAACTTTATCAAGACAATTTCCTGTCCCTAATGTATAAATGGTCATGGGATGTGATCATTTTGCAGAAGACCAAATAGAAATTGTTGGTAAACACTTGAAAAAAATGTTCAATCTCACTAATAATCATTAATAATAATAGCTACAAATAATAATATATTATTATATGTTAATCTTATAATATTATATAGTATTATATATTACATGATGATATTATATCACTAATAATAATAGATAAAAATTACATAACTTAGAAGTATTACCTCATACCTACCAAACTTACAAAAAACCCCTGACAATGAAACATTGTTATTGGGGAGGTTGAGAAACAATCAGATATATTAATTTATTGCTAATGGAATTGTAATTCTTTTTTTGAGAGCTGTTTGTTCATATTCTTTGACAATTTGTATTTTTTCCCCATGTATTGTGAATCTGACCCATACCAGAAATATTTGATTCAAATATTTTTCCTCCTACAAATTTCTCTTTTTAATTGTCTTGATTTTGTCCACGTAAAAGGTTTTCAATTTCATATAATCAAAACAAGCTATTTTGTTATTACCTCTAATCATTGACTGGTTAAGAATTTTCCCTCTAGCCATTATTATAATTAATTTTTATTATGTAAACCTTACTATTCAGGTAGTATAATTATTTTCAGCTTATTGTGGTATATGGTGTAAGCTGTTAGTGTACACTAAAATTTTGCCAATCTGCTTTGTAGTTTTCCCAGTAGTTTTTGTCAAGTTATTATGCTTCTCCCGCTGCCCCAGACTTATGCTGTTAGTTTTATTGAACACTTGGTTATTGAATTCAATTGTTTGTGAATCTCCCTTACTTAGAATTTTCCACTAATCCACTTTTCTGTTTTTCAAATAGACTCAAACAATTTTGATGATTACTGCTTTGTAGCAGAATCTGAGATCTGAAAGCACTATTGCTTCTTCAGTCTTGCATTATTCATTATTTCCCTGGAGAGTCTAGTCTATTTGTTCCTCCATATGAATTTTGCTATTATTTTGCTAAGCTTTATAAAATATCCACTTGGTTGCTTGAATTACTGCAGCATTAAATCCACAAACTAACTTAGGTATGATCACAATTTTTATTATATTGATATAGATCAACAATGAATACTGATTATCTCAATAATTCCTTAAGTAATTTTCTTTAGAAAGAATTTTGAAATTATTACCATACATATCTCAAGTGTGTGTTAGTACATTGACTCCCAGATTTTTTTATGCATTTTGTAGAATTTGAATGGGATTTCCCTTTTTAAATTCCCTTATTATGCCAATTTAATTTCCTTTTTAAATTTAATTTCCCCATATTTTTTAAATTGTTATGTAGAAATACTGATGTTTTGTGTGCATATTTTGTATATTGCTACTTTACTGAAGTTATTATTTTTCTTGGTTAATTTATTTCCTGATTATCTGGGTTTTTATAGGTAAACTACCATGCAAGCAGCAAAAAAGAGATAGTTTTATTCCCTGTTTATCTATAAAATTATACTTTGATTTGTTGCTCTTTTCTTATTGGCATAATTAGCATTTTTAGAGTAGAGAGGAAAGGGGACATTCCTGCATTACTCTTATACTTATTGAGAAAGCTTCTAGTGTTCTTCCATTTAAAATAATGGTTTTAGGCTTTTGGATTTTGATATAGTTTTTATCATATTAGAAATGATATAGTTTGTCACAGACCTTTTCCACATTTTTTGATAAAATCACATGGTATGCTGTATTTTGTTTTTAATTGTAGTTAATATTTTTCTTAACATTGAACTATTTTATGCCTCATTAGTGTAAATCCAACATAATCATAATAGACATTTTTTATAAAAAATTAGTCTTTTTGTTCATATTTAATTTAAATAATTTGTGTTATATAAGTATTAAACTTTTTTTAAAAAGTTTGCAAAATTCAGTTGTAAATTAATCTCAACCAGAGTTTCTCTCCCCTCCCCCCAGTAAGTTTTTTCCCCAAAATTGGAGTAAATGATCACATCATGTTAATCCTGGTGTTTTATATTTTTGTAGATAACTCTTTATCTCTTTGATATTCTTAGTCTTGTTGATAAATTATTTTGGTTCTGATAATTTAAAAAAATCTCCTTTGTTGTTATTTCACTTTTTCATTTTTTTACTAGGTAATTTGATCCTTATCTCTATTTTTGAATTAGATTAACTAAACATTTATTTATTTTGTTAGTCTTTTTGAAGAATCATATTTTCATTGATCAATTCTATAATATTTTTGATTTTTAATTCATCATTTTTTACTCTAATTTTTGTTTATGTTTAGTTTGGGTTTGTTTATTAATTGATTTATAATTCTAAAATTTCATATTCAATTATTCTTTTTATTTTTAAAGATGTATTTTCATATATTTATTTATTCTCTAAAGACTGTTATCTCCAATAAGTTTTCCTATGTTTTCTTACCATTACAATTTTTTTTACTTAGTTATTAATTGTTTCATGATTTGTTCATAGAATCCATATAATTTAACTTATTCATTTTTAAGGCTATCATTGTTATCTCTTTTCAGTCCTACATTTTGTTTTGTTACCTTATTTATTACTTATTTTTATTGAGTTATGGACTATAAAGGATTTGTTTAGTATTTTTGCTTTTTTACTTTATTTTTCATTTCTCCATGCCCTGGCATGTAGTCTATTTTTGTAAATATACCTTGTGATGCTTGGAAAGATTTATATTCCTTAATGTTCCCATTCAAAAGGCATCATAAGATGCTCAGCTTTAACTTCGTAAATAGTTTTGTCCAATTTTTAATTTTCTGTTTTGTTTATCTTTCTTTTGGATTTGCCTAGCTCTGAGGGAGGAACATTAGTCTCCTACCATTATGTTACAGTTTACCTTGTTTTGGAATTGCATTAATTAATTTTACTTTATAAATTTACATGTTATGTCACATGGCGTGTCTATGTTTAGTTTTGATATTTACAGGTATTATCTCATTTGATTCTCATAGCAATCTTGTGAATTAGATATATGCTTTTTGCCTGTTCTTATTTCAAGTATAGTCATATAGCAAAGTTTCATCCCATCACAGCTTTCTAAATTTTGTACTCTTCTTTGATTGTTCATGTAAGTTGTTCTCTTACATGTTTTACATTTATTTACACTTTTATTTCAGTTGAACTTGATATGACATTTGCTTGTGATTTCTCTTAACTTTTATGATGAAGTGTAAATCTATGGTTAAACTTTGCCCATGTTAAGAATAGACTTCAGCTTTTATATATTTTTAGATTTAAACATTGTCAACTAGATGCCACCAGGAGGCCCTTTCATTGTGATAGTCATAGACTGGTAAAAAACTAAAATACTGTTGCTTGATTTCACAGCCACCACGGAAAGTCTTATCCAACGTCCTGGGAAAGAGTAACCTTCAGTTTGCAGGGATGAACATAACCTTGAATATATCCACCACTAGCCTAAACCTGATGACACCTGATTCAAAACAGGTATGTGAGTTCTAATTTCTTCCTGATATCCATTATTGAAAGTTCACTAAATTGATAGTTTCTTAAGGTATCATGTGAAGGTACATATTACAATGGTAATACATATATACATACACACAAGCATACACACACATATGTATGTGTGTGTGTGTGTATGTGTATAACAATCTTTCAAATTAATGTAAAAATTTTTGTGATAAAGTAGTATCAATTTAGTTGAAAATGACAGATTAACAGAATGCTCAATGAGTTTTCTTCCAAAGTTTTCATCAGGATTCAAAGCTTATCTTTGCTCATTCTACCCCAACCCAGAAAGTACAAAATATAATACAGTGTTAAGAAAGTGTGTTACATTAATTGTAAAGATATGTCTATACCCTGGTCCTCTGAGAAGGAGCAATCCCATTGGCTGACAGAAGATGGGCACAATCCTGGGTCACCTTCAAAGGGCAGTCAGTTAATGACTTTGGTGGAGTACAGGCTCCAGAGTCCTTTGTGGAGGACACCCTGAAGGGTAGAGGAGAAGGAGATTTCCCTCATTTTCCCCTCACTGGCTGTGTTGTCTACCAGAAACTTGCTCAGAGGGAGATATCCCAGCAAGCCATTTGAGAGAGTTAGAAGTATAATTAAGGGAGTAGAGACATTCACTCCAGATAGACATAAACAAAAAAGCAGTCACTCAGAAGAAAAAGTGGCTTCTGGGATCTCTGGTTGGTCCCTTTTCTGGTAAAGAAGGGAGCTGGCTAAGAACTCAAGAGAGGGCTATTGGCACTGGCAATTATATGCCAGAGAGAGAAATGAACAAAGAAGGAAAGACCTCTACACCATGTACTTCTGGATTTTGAGTTGTCTTGGCACATGTGCTCCTTACAAATGTGCCTTACTGCCACCGAACTCAAAGTTTGTGTCTACTCTTCCCATAAATGGCATGTGTATTTGTGGGGGTATGCACCTCAGATTTATGGGAGTTATGTTTTGTAGCTTTTATTTTAACTATTCCATCTTAGTAAATGCCTTAAGAGCTAAATGTATCAAAGATGGTTGGTTGTTGTTTGTCATTCATTCTTGAAGAAGACCATGACATCATGGAGGTGATGCCATGACATGCAAGTGAATTGGATTTAAGTGATGAAAGGCTGTGAAAAATCACCAGCCTCACTTTCTCCTCCAGAGCCATCTGGGTTCAGTGGCCAGATACACATACAATTGGAGATGGCTTCAAGTGGTTGGTAATGGAAAGTTGGAATGTACACTGATAGGGCTTGTGAACTTGTTAGACATGCAGACCACAGGGTTACCCTTACAACCCAAGGTAGTAACCACCCTAACATTAGTGGAGAAGGGAACTCCCAGGTATCCCATGTGTAGACCAACACTCAGAATGGCTCTGGAGCTCATTGTTGTGCTATATATCATTAAGAAATTGCATTAACAGTTTGTATCTCTTATTCTGAAAATGGAACACTCTTTTCTCATCTTTTGAGGTTGTTAAAATTTTCTAAGAAATGAAATAGATTTCTAGTTTTTTTCTATTAAATATTGGTTCTCAGTAAATTTGAAAATAATATTAAATTTCTTGTTTCTAACAGATTATAGCAAATCATCACATGCAGTCGATTTCCTTTGCGTCTGGAGGTGATCCGGTAAGCATATTTTTTTCTCTTGTTCTGTATAAGAATGGGGGGGAACACAAATTTCCTTCACAAGTTGTATCTAATGTCACTAAATGGAAAATCAAATGTGATATTATCTTTATTGGTTTGATAAGATATTTTGTGGCTACTTTTTTCTTTTTCTTTTTTGGGGAACTCAATTCTCAGTATTCTTAAACCTTATTCAAAGATCTGAGCTGAGGAGTCAAAGGTCTCAGAAGTATTGTCTTTGTCTTAATACCAAATCTGTAGAGATAGAATGACTTTTCTATTTTCATTTATATGCTGAACTTTAATAGAGTAGATATAGACTAGAGAATACATTTGAACCTTTAGGCAGGGCCACCCTTTCATCCTGAGAAGCTGTCCTATTTTTAAATGCTCCCTGTCCTCATGACCCCTCCTGGATTTCATAGAATGCATTAATAACTCATTCCAAAAGAGAAAAAAGAAGAAAAACAAAGCCATATCTCCAGTCCAACTATGTAGTTAAAGGAAAGGAATCATGAATATCCCCCTTCTTTCTCCCATCCTCCAGTTACAAAAATATGGCCTTGCGTTTTCCGTGTTTTCATCTGAATGCACTCTCTCCCCACTCCCTGCTTTCCCTTCACCTTCTATTCCTGTGAAATCTATTATTGGCTGTGGTTGACACTAGTGAAAGAGGCTGTTTGAAGTCTAGGTTCCCAATCTCTCTTAATTTTAAAGTATGATCAAAATAACTCCACTGAGTCTCTAAGCATCCAGAAAAGCCAAGCTGCCTATTCATGTGGAAGCCAATGAGAAATAGTCAATCTCCATCTTTCACTGCATGCAGGCTGACTACTGATCTAATAAACTCATTCTGGGGGGTGGGGGAAAGGGGAGGCATAGCTGGTGACTTTCCTCAGCCTAATCAGCTGCATATAAGTACCAAAAATGAAAAAGTACTTGTTAGCATATCTCCAACTTCTCTATAAGAAGACCAAGAAAGACTTTATCAGATGCTTTGCTAGAATCTAGGTAAACTATATGTACAGCATTCTCCTATTCTCCTAGTTTAGTAACCGTCAACAATAGAAGTGGTATTCATCTGGCATTACTTGTTCTGGTTAAAGCCATATTGGCTCTTTATAGTCTCCATTTTCCTGTCTAGATATACACAAACTATTGTTTTTAGTGATCCATTCCAGAATCTCCCCCAAACTGAAGTCAAGTTAATTGGCCTATTTTTTGCAAATACTGTTCTCTTTCCCTTTTTTGGAAAGTGGGGTCAACTTTTGTCCTTCTCCAATCTTGAGTCTTTAAGTGGTACTTTTGTATTACTCTGATTTTCTATGATCTTCATTGCTTTCCTGATCCATTGTAGACTTCCTGACCTGTGTAGACTCCTTTGATATAATCACCCAGTGCCACAGATGGCCTCCTGCTCAGTCAGGCTTGACCACACAGCATGCTGGGAAATGTAGGCTGATCCTCATCTGACCGCTATTACACATAGAACATTTTTTAAAAGCTTGTTATGTAGCCAGATGCAATGTTGTCTGGGACTGGGCTGCTCTTCATCTGTCTACTTTGAGAGGGAGGGGAACCCTATAGCTGTGGAATCTGCAGTGGCCTCTGTGAAGGTATTTGTAATAAGGGCAGGGTAATGGAATGGAAAGTCCATTGGACTCAAGAAGCCTAGCTTCTAAAGCAGATTCAGCTATTTATCAACTAATGATCTGGGGCACTAGACAAATTCTTTGTACCTCATTTTACTCTGAGGAAATTGAAAGGGTTGGATTAGATTATGTCTAACATCCCTTCCACATCTAGATGTCTATGATTCTGGGAGCAATATGTATAATGATTCCAAATCTTTGTTTTAGTTAACAGCTTCAGATCCCTTCCACATTTGTTGTGGTAACTGGTGATGAAACCAGTTTGTCTAATCAGAGTTTCACTCCTTTCTCATCATAGCCTCCATATTATTGTTATACTGATAAGATCCAGAAGGAAGGGCAAAGGGGCTGAGTAGACTCCCCGATCAGCTTCTCAATAATTGAGAATAGATTGGTGATATAGATGTAGTTTCTTACACAATGTCAAGTTCCATTGCTGGGACTAAAAGTTGCTTTGTAATGGAATTAGATAAGCTAGTCAATTCTGAAAGCAATAGGACTTAGGTCTGTATTTGGCATGTCCCAAAAGGAAGCCTATTTTCCTTAACTGGTGGAGATAGCCAAGGAAGAATAAGGCAGGAACATGAGAAGGGCAACCCACCAACTCTGACATGCTAGTACTAGGAGGAACACCTCAAAAGCAGGACTGGGATGAGGCAGGGGAGGGTAACCAAGGATTTTATCAGATAGCCTTGGGCCTAATGGTCTTTAGGACATCACAGGAAGTGAGAATCCACATGATCTAGTAAGGGGTTTCTTCAAGGACTTTGCAAATACTGAGTTCTCACTGGGACTCTTGAGTCCATGATTCAGGTTAAGTCAAACAGATTCAGGGTCAAGGCAGCTTGATCAGTGTGAACAAGACAATAGTTAAAAAATAGCTAACATTTATATAGTGCTTACTATGTGCCAGGTACTGTGCTAAGTGCTTTACAATTATTAACTCATTTGATTCTCGCTTCAACCCTGAGAGGTAGGTGCTATTATTATCTCCATTTTACAGATGAGGAAACTGAGGCAGAGAGCAGTTAAGTGATTTGCCTAGCTACACATAGTAAGTGTCTGAGGCTGGGTTTGAACTCAGGTCTTCCTGGCTCTAGACTCAGTGCTCTGTCTACTTCACCACCTAGTTGACCCAGATCAGAGAAACCAGGTGTTTTATAGGAAGGGAAAGGGTTCTATTCAGACAAGTCTGATTGGTTTTACATTCCTGATATCCTTGGAAACTGGAAGTATCTAGTTTGGAATGTTCCAGGTATAGAAATTTCAAGTTACAGGAGGTCTCAGAGTATGGGCAGTGCAGAAAGAAGAGGAAACTAGGTAGGAGGAGGTGATATGGCTCAGGAATTGCAGAGACTGTTGGACAAGGATAGACTACAACATTCAAGAAAAATCTCTGATAACAAGGGCTCATACAAGAACTACAATATTTAATTTTCTAATTGATTTTTATGCCTTCTTCACCTCAGTGGGTCTTGGAAACAATTTTCTTGTCCAATGAATATTTTAATTGTTTCAGTGGAAGATAGAATAGATTCCTTCACCTTCCCCCACCCTATGCCCTCAAACTTATGGCAGGCATTTTCTGTAGCATGGCTGGGAGCCTTCCTGAAATTGTGTCCCCTTTACCCATGGAGAGAAATAGGCAAAAACATCAAGAGACAAAGCAAAGTTTCAGGTCTAGGAAACAAGAATGCTTTATTCATAGTCTGAACAGCACTAACATTTGTGAAAGGAGCTTCATAAAAGGGAGATGGGAAACATTTGCCAGCTGTCCACCTAATTGGTTTAATTATTCGAGGAAAAAAATGTTCTTTGCAAGGGAATCCTTCCTTCATTCCTTCTTTCCCTCCTTGCTTTTCTTCTTTCCTTTCCTCTCTCCCTCTTTCCTTCTTTCTCTCCTCCTTTCCTCCCTTTGTTCCTTCCTTCACTTTTCTGTTTCTTTTATTTCTCCTCCTCTCCTTTTCCCTTCCCTTCTTCTTTTTCCCTCTTTCCTTCTTTATTGAAATTGTACCTTTTTTTTTCTTCCAGGATACAACAGATTATGTTGCATATGTAGCTAAGGACCCTGTTAATCATAGAGGTATGTTGCTTGTGATATTTTGTCCTTTTTTTCTCTTTTATATTCAACATTGTTAATATCATATATTTCAATTATTCATTTTTAAATTGAGTTTTTTCCTACAGTAAAGGATTGTTAACAGATAATATTGGTCAATCAACGTTGTCTCATTGTATAGCCTTTAGCATAGCAAAATGGGAATTGAGAAACTTGGATCTTTGAGTTAATTTTTTAAAAAATATCTTTATGTTGTAGGTTTTTTTTGTTTTAAAAATAAACTGTGATGCTTAGGTTACTCATAGGTTACTTTTGCTTACTCATAACAAATGAAAGTAGTTGTTATTAGGAATTCAAGGAATTCAAGTTTTATAACAGAATGGTACAGGTTAGTTGTGTAATAGATAGCATCCAAAATTTGTTTTAAAGTAGCTTCAGTAGACCTAGACTGCAGTTGATCTGTGATTTCATTGATGTGGATATAGATGACAATTTATGCAAGCCTACCCATCCTTGTCTATGTCTTCCGTAAGGTTACCTCAGGAATTTCACTCAGTATGCTGGGGCTTGATCACCAGTTATCCTTTGAATTCATAGTGATCAGCTAGATGCATTCAGCATAATGAAATCCACAAACAGCAACATCTGGAGGACTTCACCATGGATTCTTCAACTTGGATTCTATTTGAACACTTTTAGGGAGTTTATGTCTTCATAGTTTATGCCTCACTTGATATTAATGATCAGAGGGCTTGCAAAGAAGGTTTTTTATCTATTATATCTTTAAATGAATCATATAACTTTAACATATGCATGGGAGAAATTTTGTTGGAGAGCAGTTACATAAAGCAAAAATACATACTTTTACTTTACCAAAAAGATACTTTTTATAATCCAAAAGCAAGAAGTAAAATAGGATCTTGTATTCTTTTTATCTTTTGGTCAATTGTGTTATGATAAAAATGTGATTATTTTTCTGATATAATACTTGCAAAATTGTTCTTGGTTTCTTTTAATAATTACATCAAGGATATCCCTTATTCAAGTGTAAATTATTTTCACAAAATTTCATATAAATGGGAAAGTAAGCATATGGGTTTGTAGTTATTGATATTCTACTGGTTATTTTTTGGGGGGGTAATAATAGAGGCTGAGATTTTTTTCCCATGTCTTTGATATCATATCCTCCTTCAGATACCTTGAAAACCAGTCCTTCAAGATGCTCAGAATTGTGCTGTCTCCAGTGTGGACTATCCCTTTGTAGTCCAGCTGCTTTTCCCACTTTTGATTTCTTCAGCGTCACTTCCAGAAGTGTGAAATTAGAGTTCTAAGAATTTGTTATGGAATTTTTTTTGCAGTTTTTTCATCTTTTGTCTTTTTGTTGTCTTCCTTCTGCTTCCTCTTCTCTTCTTTCTCTATATGATTTCACTTGATCTCATCAGCTCCCATGAATTCAGTGATCATCTCTATGCCAATAATTCTAAGAACCGATTTGTCCAACCCTAACTTCACTTCTAACCTCTAGATTCATATCTCTAAAGTCATTGGACATCTAATATTAGATGTCCCATAAACATTCTAAGCTCATAATATCAAAAAACTAAACTCATTATCCCCTCCCCTAATCCTTTCTCTTTTTCTAACTTCTGTATTACTGCTTTTTTTTTCTTTTGGTGAGGCACTTGGGGTTAAGTGATTTGCCCAGAGTCACACAGCTAGAGTGTTATGTGTCTGAGGCTGGATTTGAACTCAGATCCTCCTGACTCCAGGGTCAGTGCTCTATCCACTATGCCACCTAGCTGCCCCTTCTGTATTACTGTTGAGGGAACTACCAAACTCCTACTCACTCAGTCTTGAAAACTAGCCCATCATTATTTTACCCCTTACTCCCCATATCCAATCTCTTGCCAAGGCCAGTTGATTCTATCTTCATAATATCTCATCTCTTGAATATGCCCCCTTTTCTCCTCTGATACTAGAGAACTTCAGCATTTTTGCCTGGACTATTGCAATAATTTTCTGGTAGTTTTCCCTGACTCATTCTTTCTCTAATCCATTCCATCCTTCACTCGGCTGTCAAATTGATCTTTCTAAGGGACAAGTCTGACCCTATCACCACAGTAGTAGATAAGTCCAGTGGCTTATGGAGAGCATGGAGTAGTCTAACTACCCTAACTTGACTAGGATCAAATATAAAATCATCTGTTTGACATTCAAAGCTCTTTATACCCCCACCCTGTTTCCAATTTCTCATACCTTACACTTCTCCCCTACCCTGACCCATCACATACTCTTTGATTCAGTGACACTGATCTCCATGCTGTGTCCAGCACTAAGCATTTTCACTGGCTATTCCTCCATATCTGAAATTCTCTTCCTCCTTATCTCTACCTCCTGGCCTCCCTAGCTTTTATCAAATCCCAGGTAAAACTCTACCTTCTACAGGAATCCTCTCTGGATCCCCCTTAATTCTAATGCTCTTCTTCTCTTGATTATTTCTAATTTTTCCTGCATCTAGTTTGATTGTATAGAGTTATCTGCACATTGTCTTCCCCTTCTGACTGAGGTCCTTGGGAGCAGGGGCTCCGTTTTATCCTTCTTTGTATCTCTAGCATTTAGCATAGTGCCTGGGACATAGTAGATACTTGTTTAATTGATGGATTACTTTTATCCTTGAATACTATAGGAATGACTTTGCTAATGAGTCTTTCACAAAATGTTCTTTAAACTTGTTTGTTCCTGTACTGTTTCTCATTGCTTTATGAAGCACTGTTGTTCCTAATCTTTCACCAGATTTTTCAAACAAGGGCCAATGTGGCCCTCCAGATTCTCAAGTACAGCCCTTTGACTCAATCCAAACTTCACAGAACAAATCCCCTTAATAAAAAGATTTGTTCTGTAAAACTTGGACTCAGTCAAAAGGCTGCACCCAAGGACCTAGAAGGTCACATTGGGCCTTGAGGCTGCAGGTTCCCCACCCCTGTAAACCATTGTTGCTCTTGACTGCCCTATCTTTCCACTTGGCAAGTAGGTTAAGTAGTGGCTGAATAAGGCAGCTTTTAGCCTATTTCAGTCCCTTGCTATGGCAACTGATTCAAAGCTTTATTAGTCAAAAGTAGTGATAGAAACAAATAACTGTGTATGCTGATCATTTTTGTGCTTGCCTCAAAAGAAACATTTATTGTTTTTATTCTTAAGTGAATCATGGTATGACTTCGAATAGAACCCAATGAGGTAGCTGCTCTCCCATGTATAAAACCTCTAGGTAGCAAGCACGCTGTTGTGAGAAGAATGCTAGACTTTTAGTCCGGAAGAACTGGATTCACATTTTTAACCTCTGTGTACCTTAGGCAGCAGCAAGGGCTTATCTATCCAGTCACAGAGGTATTGAGATCTACAGTCGTTGGGAAACTTATCCCACTAGGTCATTCACAGATCTTTTATTTATTAATATATTTTTAAAGCCCTGCTTACCCTGTTCTCCAAAAGCAGCAGGTAAATTGCATTTGTTTTTTTAGAAAGCATTGGTTTGGAAAGCACTTTTCAGAAACCTATATCATCTCTCAACCAACAGAACCATTTACAATCTTAATTAGACAGATAAGATTTTATTTTTATGTCTATTAACTTCCAAAGAATTAAGTTCCAGTCTGTCATCCATTCCATTAGATTGTGGTTATTATTGAACATCTAGCTTTTAGCCAGTCTTATCATCTCTTCAGAAATCATGGAAAGTCACCTTCCAATATGAAACCTTTTATACATGGTCCAAGACTGTAATTCAGTCAAACTCTCAGCTTTTTCAGGTGATATGGTGAATAGAACACTGGGCGTGGAGTGGGGAAGATCTTAGTTCAAATGTGGTCTCAGATACTTAACTAGCTATGTGAACCTGGGCAAGTAACTTAATCTCTGTCTTCCTCAGTATCCACATCTATAAAATAGGAATAATAATAACACCTACTTTTCAGGGTTGTAGTGATAAAAATAAGATAATATTTGTAAGGTGCTTTGCAAACCTTAAAGCACTGTATAAATGCCAGCTATTATTATTATTCTCTTATTCAGAATAATGGCTAATCATAAGCAAAACTGTAAAATAGATAATACTTGTGTTTGATGCTTTTACATTTTCTATTTCTTTGACCCTCTTCATCATCTTGAGATTTCTTCTCCACAATAAACCTTCTTGGATACTGCCTGGCCTCTTCTATGCCTAGTTTTCTCCCAGCCCTCCTATATGTAGATTACTATGGTAGACACTTGGGAAGATACAAAGTGTGGACAAGATCTGGTTCTGCTAATGTTGGGCAATAATTCATGTTCCTAAATTATCTCTCCCTTCTCAATGTCTTTGCTATTCTATCTTTTTCTCCCACTGCTCAAATGAAATTTTCATTCCATTGAAGTTATACTCCTAATTAACTATCAAAGAAGTTCCCAAATAAATTAAATCTACTAACTTATCAGTAAGAATCGCAAGATGAGCCCAAGGGGATGGAGTGCTGTGTCCTTTCCCTCTCCAATAATGTCCTTCACCTTATTCTTAACCCATGAATGGGGTGACTGAATTTAGTCCTAGGAGCACTAGGCCTCTAAAGAGAAGGATTAAGTTCTCCTTCTTGTACTTATTGGCATTTTACACCTCTGTCCTGGACATCTGAGGAAATTTACTTAAAACTTAGGTTTGGTTCATGTCTAGGGTCTCCCCAAAGAGAGTAGTAGAAAAGCACTCAATGTATAATATGATTTAGGTATAGGACAGCTATTTTATTTCCACCACACAAAATAAATGCTGACTGTAAATAACTCGCAAGCACACATTGGCAGAGACTTAAAACAGAATAAACTAACATAACTACTATGAGTAGTTGTAACTACTATAATACTACTTGTAACATAACTAGTGTTATGAATTAGGGCAGCTAGGTGGCTCAGTGGATAGACTACTGGTTTTGAAGTCAGTAAAACTTGAGTTCAAATTTGGCCTCAGACAGCTGCATAACTCTGGGTAAGTCACTTAA